CGTGCTTGGTTTCAGCATTTTAGCTCATTTCTTCTCACACTTGGATTTTCTTGCAGTCGCGCTGACACGTCCCTTTTTGTCTTTCATCAGCAATCTAACCTTATCTATTTGCTTCTTTATGTTGATGACATTATTGTTACCGGCAACAACTCATCTCTTATTGACAGCTTTACTCGCAAGCTTCATTCTGAGTTTGCTACCAAAGATTTGGGTTCTCTTAGTTACTTTCTTGGTCTTGAAGCTTCACCCACTCCTGATGGTTTCTTTATTAGTCAGTTAAAATATGCTCGAGATATTCTTACTCGTGCTCAGTTACTCGATAGCAAACCAGTTCACACTTCCATGGTTGTTTCTCAACACCTGACTGCTGATGGTTCTCCTTTCACTGATCCTACTCTCTACAGATCTCTTGTTGGCGCCCTTCAGTACTTGACTATTACGCGTCCAGATATTGCCTATGCTGTCTATTCTGTCAGTCAATTCCTGCATGCCCCTACTGCAAATCACTTTCTTGCTGTCAAACGTATTCTTCGCTATGTCAAAGAAACACTCGTCCATCCACTGTTCCTAGTACGCTAGACGCTTATTCGGATGCTGACTGGGCTGGTTGTTTCGATACTCGTCGTTCTACATCCGGCTATTCTATTTATCTTGGTAACAATCTCGTTTCTTGGAGTGCCAAAAAGCAACCTACTGTCTCATCCAGCTGTGAATCTGAGTATCGTGCTCTTGTCACAACTGTTGCTGAACTTCTTTGGGTTACGCATCTTTTGCATGACCTCAAGGTTCCTATTTCACAGCAGCCCTTACTCTTATGTGACAACAAAAGTGTTATTTTTTTGAGCTCTAATCCTGTTTCTCACAAGCGGGCCAAACATGTTGAACTAGATTATCATTTCCTTCGAGAACTTGTTATCGCTGGCAAACTTCGCACACAATATGTACCCTCTCATCTTCAAGTTGCTGACATCTTCACAAAGAATATTTCTCGACCTCTCTTTGAATTTTTCAGATCCAAGCTTCACGTTCGTTCAAATCCGACGCTCAGCTTGCGGAGAGTGTTAAGGATAGTTGACCGTTCATTATAAGGCAAATATCTAGATATTTGTCGTACATTACGGGTTACCATATTTGCCCTTTTATTAAAGGCAAATATATTGTATTCATTTATTATTCTTTCCTTTTATAGCTATTTCCATATTATTTGTAATTTACCATATTTCTGTATTTTGTAAATGATTATAAATAAGAGAACTCTCACCACCATTTAGGTGTGGTGGATTCAACAAACATTCACAGGTTAGCAGTATATTTTCTTTATTTTTAGGAGTTAGTCGGTAGCTTTGGCTGTCATCAGCTCGTGTCATAAGGTGTTGGTTTATGTCCCGCAACAAGCGCAATCCTTGTGTTTAGTTGCCAATCGTTGAGGTTGGAACCCTAAGCAGAGTCGGTGATAAGTCGGAGGAAAGTGAGGATGACGTCAAGTCATCATGTCCCTTGTGCCCTAGGCGACACACGTGCTACAATGGTCGGGACAAAGGGTCATGATCCCGCGAGGGTGAGCTAACTCCAAAAACTTTTATATTTAAATGTTGTGAACATTAATGAAGACTGTACTTTCGATCCCAGTTCTGCTTCTCATTCTTAATAGTACCCTTCAAATTTCTTAAAGATTAAAAAAATACTCTTATTCTTAGTGTTATGTTTAAAAAACACCTACGAAATTTTATAAGTAACATTAACACCATTAACGCTTATAAATTAAAAAGTTCTTGTCATCAATACATGTTTGGAAACTACCTGTTCCTCATAGAGAATCTCCCTTTTTAAAATTACTTTTGAAAGTCCATTCAGTATTTTTGAAACGTTTAAAGTGTTTTTAAAGTTTTAAAAAGCAAATTATATTATATAATTAGGCCATGTTTATGTATTTGTAATGAAAAATTAATTGTAATGCAAATAATAAGAGAAAATTAGATTCTTTTAATTGTGTTTATTTTGAATTGGTTGGAATAAATCTCATTAGTGTTACAATTAAAACGTTATTTATTTATTTATTTATTTTACTTAATTCAAATTTTATTTAAATTTTTATACTTGCACAACAAAAATTTAATAACTAAAATATAGGGTTTCAAAATTCAAAATATTAATGACATTAAATTTCATTAGTTTATTTCAATTTTCAATTTAGTGAAATACATCTTGATCTAAATACTCTTCAAATTATTTAAAAAAAAACAAAACAAAAAAACACACCCTTTTTAATAAGATAGTATTATTGAGTAACTTAGATAGAATTACAGATTTGAGAGCATAGATATTCATTTGATTCGAAGGTTAAGAATCTTTATATGAATAGAGAATGAGTAAAGAATTCATGAGAGATTTTTATCTATTAGCTTAATGAGGGATGAGGGTTGTTCGCCGTCCTTGCCCCCAATCCTTTCACAATCCACGTTTTATATATAATAATTTATCTTCGTGTCTTAATAATAATATTTATGTATAAGGAAAGCCAAGTCATAAACTAGCTTATTATATATATAAATAAATATATAAATATATTTTTTAAAGGGTTAAAATCTAAATTGAAAGTTAAATTTTGAAAAATTATGTTATAATAGGTAACGACTCAAAATTTTCTACTTAATTTAAGGCTGCTACTGTATAAGTAACATAAAAATTGAATGCGAAAGACTTCATTTAAAATACCACTATCCTATGCATGTGTCATGGTCTCAAGTTGCGATGTCGTCGTTAGCCGTACAGGAATGTCTTGCCAACTTGAAAAATGTAGTAACACATGGGTTGAGTATTTAAAGAAATACTAGCGATCCCACTATTAGGGTTAAATGCAACAATCACATGCAAATGAGATGATGGGACCTATCTTTTAATATGTCTTCCTATGATGCTGTTTTAACGGGTAATTTGGACGTGTACCATATACTCTACACACAGCCGATGCAAAACATAACGATCACAAAACAATCTAAAAATAACAATTACCATCACAAAACAATCTAAAAATAACATATCACATCACAATATATCGAATCACAAACATGTCATATTGTAAACACTTCGTTGTCATATTGTTCCCTACCTATCACAGTCATATTGTTACCTGAACGTACCTTAGTCATATTATCACAGGAACGTATCCTAACGCTATCGTTCTATCAATCTATCACAAACTTATCCCTTTCTACCCATAGCATAACCATATTCTTTCATCAATCTCCCCTATCCATAACACTCCAGTATGTAACCTAACCCTAACGTTTTATGAACGTATCTTACTCCTATCGTTAGATTTCGTTTTGTGCATCCTTCTTGTATCCTATCTCAAACATATCCGTGAACACATTGTACCATAATTATTATTATACAATTCACATATTATAACATAAGATAAACATAATATAAGCATACCGATTCACAAATAATTCACACATATCAATATATATGACACGTGTACAACCACAGACACGTGTCAACATCAAATATAACTATGCCGATAGTAAGACCACTTACCTGGCTAGGTTAAGTCGTTGTCACGAATATATCTTTAATGAAAGTTCGATTCTGTCCTTTGAAATCCGAGTCAATCTATGTGAGCCAATGACACTAGTTTCAAGTTTGAACTCTACCAAATTATTTCCCTAATTTACATGGATCCATTATTAAAAATCTTGAAATGTTATATATCTATAGTTATATTTTGATTAAAAATCTTATTTTCCATGGTTACTTTGTATAAAAAAAAAATAGATACAGATTTACTATTCACAAATTTTCTTGGTCATTCTATTTTTAATCTATTTATTTGGCTAATGATATAAATTTAATATAATATTACTAATTTGACATGATCTACTTAGAATTCGTATAAATGATTGACATTTAATTTCTAACTCAAAGCTAAACCATTGTAATAATTGAATGAATATCTAACTATAATTGGGTGTGATTTCTAAAAAAATAGGATAAGAGATAATAAAGATTTAATATATTGATCCCATCTATTTTCACTTAAATCTCTGGTGAACGTCATTCTCATTTTTTCCCATTTGACAATTATTGTTTTTTTTTTTTTTGTTTCTTTGTGCAGTAATGTTAGGCTTAAGGATGAGTTGATGAGAGATAATTATGAGAAGAGATTAGAGATTAGTGGAGAGAAGCAAGTAAAGATGGTTATTTATTTATCTATTATTGGTTGTTTATTTGTTATTTTATATATTTATTTATTTATTATTATTATTTTTTGGCTATTACAATATTATATTTTTGTTTATAATATACTTTTGAAATTGTTAGGAGGGATGAGAAAAGGACAAAGAATGAAATAGGAAATTTAGAGGAAATAGAAAAAAGTGGACAAGGACGAAGAGAGGATGAAGAATGACACACCAGACCAACACCCAAAACAAATTCATTAAAAGGGATACCAAAGAGAAAATATGGAAGTTGTTGGAGAAGAGATAAGAATAGATATGAATGCTAGTAAATGAAATCTACAAAAATTCAAATCTATTAACAATGTTCTTGGCAGACACTGTTGATCATATCTTTTTGAATACTTTGAATCATAATTATGTTGTTTGAGTGAGTGATATTTAAATGGGACATTTGAAGGGGCAGTAGCATTAAGAAAATTGGATAAAAAACAGAAAACAGCAAAACAAAGATGTTTAGATTTATGAGGAAAAAGAATGAGATTTTAGTTAAGAAATAGGATTAGTGACGCAAAAATGTATAGGTTTATGAGGGAAGTGATTGAGATTGTAAGTTAAAAAACATGAGATGTTGGTAAATTCATGGTGGATTCAGATCTGGACAACCAAAACAAAGAAAAACGTCATGGAAGATGACCCAATCCTCATCACAATCGCCTCCTCCCTATATCAGTCTATATCAGTCTATATCTCTCTATATCAGTCTATATCTCTCTATATCAGTCTATATCAGTCTATATCTGTCTATATCTGTCTATATCTCTCTATATCTATCTATTCCCTCTTCACTCACGTTCAAAATGGCTACTATGCCTTCTTCTTCTTCTCCTTCCCCCCTTCTGCCTCTCCAACACCGCGTCGCCATTGTCACCGGCGCTTCTCGCGGCATCGGCAGAGCCATCGCCCTCCACTTCGCCTCCCTCGGCGCCAAACTCCTCATCAATTACGTCTCCAACCCCGCCCAAGCCCTTCTCGTCGCTTCCCAAATCAACTCCTCATTTCCCGGCGCCGCCCTCACTCTCCAAGGCGACGTCTCTGACCCGGCCACCGTCGCTGCCCTCTTCGACAAAGCAGAGCACGCTTTCAACTCCCCTGTTCACATTCTTGTCAACTCTGCCGCGATCCTTGATCCCCACAAGCGCAGCCTTGCCGACCTTCCCTTGGAGGACTTCGACAGGATTTTGAGGCAACTTCCTCATGTTTACCTCCATTTTTTTTAATGCGTTTCCTGATCTTATCTGATTTTTTTGCAGTGTGAATGTTCGAGGATCGTTTCTATGCGCGCGGGAGGGTGCGAACAGAGTGAAGCGCGGCGGAGGAGGCCGGATTATACTGATTTCGTCGTCCTTGGTTGGGGTTCTGAGGCCTGGTTCGGGGGCTTACACGGCATCGAAGGCGGCGGTGGAGACGATGACGACGATACTGGCGAAGGAGATGAAAGGAAGTGGAATTACAGTGAACTGTGTGTCGCCGGGGCCGATTGCGACGGAGATGTTTCTGACGGGGAGGAGCGAGGAGGAGGTGAAGAAAGTGGCGGAAGAGTGCCCAATGGGGCGGGTGGGGGAGGCCATGGATGTGGCTCCATTGGTGGCGTTTTTGGCTTCCGATTCGGGCGAGTGGGTTAATGGGCAAGTTATTCGAGTTAATGGTGGCATGGTTTGAAATTCGGCGTCCTCTCCGATTACGCCTATTTTCATGTTCAAACCTCTTCCACATCTAAATAATCATCCAAATAAAAGGCTTTTCTTTAACTCAAATACTTAGTATCATTTGGTTGGTGCTTTTATTTAAAATTTGGAGATCCAAAGCATGAGAGAGTGCAGGGAGTGGGAGGAGATGCAGCCATTGTCAGCCACAGAGGACTCCACACAACAAGGAAGATTGGTGGCCGAGTCTACGGAAGACCCCACCCAACACCCCTCCTACTGCTCTCACTTTCTTGGTGCACATATGAACCATCCATGTGTCTAATTTCTAATACTACTAGGATTAGAACCATTACAATATTCCACATCCATGGGAGAGGGAAACGACATCGATCGGAGAGGGAAACGAATGTCAGCAAAGATGCTGGACTCTAAAGGAGGGTGGATTGCGAGATCCCCCACTAATTGAGAAGGAGAACGAAACATTGTTTATAAGGGTGTGGAAACCTCTCCATAGTAGACACGTTTTAAAAATCTTGAGGGGGAAACTCGGAAAGAAAGCCCAAATAAGACAACATCTACTCGCGGTTCGCGGTGGGCTTGGACAGTTACAATTACCTTCTTCATTCTCGACAGATTCTAACATCCATGATCAAATGCCTCTTTTCATATGCACTATTCCACCAAGACAAAATGCAGAAGTGATGAAAGCTTCAACAGAACCAAAACAGCGATTGGATAGAATCAATCATAAACTAATGAACATTAGAAAAAATGAAGTACAAGAGCAATAATATGGAACATCATCATCATCATAAAGTATCTACACTTCCAAATCATAGCAACATTGCTGTGAATAACAAGGCCATAGATACTAAGCTAACAAATGAAGCATCAAAGGAGGGGGAAGACGAAGCTAGCTGGATGATGAACTTACAAGTACCTTGTGAAAGATTCTGCGAGCTTATTGTAGCTAAACCTTGAAAATTACACGCCAATTCATCTTGATTCTGCACCTGAAAGTACATATTAAACGCATACGACGCATTCCCATTAGCATCCAAATTATTGCAAGAAGATCCATAGCCAAGCGAAGTGCAATCAGAAAAAGTGCACGCATAGTCTATGTTATCAGCAAGTTTGCTTAAATCCTTAGCATTTGGATTGAACATACACCACTTTTGAGGAAGATACTGCACGTCTTGTGCTCCCACAAGCAGCTTGTTCTGGCCCTGACCTGAAAGATCCATGCCAAACTTCGGCTGACCGTCGTACCCGAAAATGCCCCAATGCCGCTCGAAGTTCCCTGGGGCAATGCTCTTCCCATTCTCATCAAGAAAGCTAAACAAGTACACTTCAATGAATCCAGGCCTCAATGGGGTGCCCTTGTTGGCTGCAAGCCTTGGTAGAAGGCCATTGTAGAATCTATAAGCATTGCCAGCATTGGCATTCTTATCACCATCAGTAGGCCATCCAACCTCGCCAACTAGAATTGGCATGTCCCCAAGTCCTACAGCTTTCAGAGACGACACCAAAGTGTCAAAGTTCGCATCGAAAACATTCGTATATTGAATGCCAGTGTTCACGTCAACAACAGGATTGCTTGCACCATCAAAGAAAGCATAGTCGAAAGGGAAGTTGTCATTGCCATAAAGACTAAGAAAAGGGTATATGTTTACAGTAAATGGTGCGTTGTTCTTGCTTAGAAACTGGACGATTTGAGTCATGAGTCCATTGATATCGCTCCGAAACCGACCAGCAGACGGATACGGGGTATTCACCGGGGAGTTGTAAACATCAGCATTTAAGGGTACTGTTGCCTTGATGGTGTCCCCATAACCAGCTTCATTGAGTGCATTTTGAACGTTTTGAAGGGCTGGAAAGGTAACATTCAAGAATGATCCATTATAAGATGATAGAAATGGCTCATTGCCAACAGCAACATATCTGTACAAGAACATCATAGTAAGAACAAAACACAGGCTTAGTTTAAACAATTTTGTGTGGTTTGAAATGAATTACTTGATGGTAACTCCTCCATCAAAGGTGTAACGGGAGACATTTCTCTGCACCCATTGCTTAGCTCGATTGTAGTCTCCCATGGCGACAAGTTGATCATTAGGAATGGCAACCATGACCTCAATACCAGTGCCTGCCAGAGCGCCCATGGAGGATTGGTCTGCATCAAACAGCTTCACTTTCTGAATCCCATTATCCTTAAACATCTGCACAATGGTCTTAGGGGGTAATTTATGATTCGCCATAGTTCCCCAATTCACTCCAAGACCTTCAATACAGCAACCCAAAACCCCAACCAACAAAACCCAGTTCAGAATCCATAATCTTCCCATTTTCCCACCTCGCTCACAGCCAACAAAAGGGGGGGGCAAAGAATCAAATAACAAAAAGCAATGATACCCAGATGGAATTAGCAAATGAAAGTGATCTGAACAGATTGATTATAGAAAAAGATCGGGAAAAAAAGAAAAAAAACTGAAGGGTTTTCCGTCTTCCCCCCGAAGATCTGGCAATATTTGCCCCCACGAGAACAGAGATGGTGATAGAGAGGGAGAGAGAGATGAAAAAAGAATCCAATAAAGCGATGAAGAAGTAAGAGTAGGAATAAAGGTAAGTAGAGGGAGAAGAAAAAGGACGAGATTGAAATTCCTGTGGGTGTACGTACAGTGGAAATAGGAATAAAAGCAAACCCAAATCAGGAAAAACAGAGAACAGAGGAGATTGAGAGTGAAACAGGGGAAAAGGAAGAAGAACAAGAAGAAGAACAGCTAAAAAAAAAAAGGAAGAAATCAAATAACCAGAGAAGAAGGGGATGAAATAAGAAAGAAAATGATAAACACTCCAAGCGGCACCAGAGAATGTGGAGAGTGGGAAAGGAAAAACGGAGAAATGGGGTTATGAGAGAGATAGATGAAGACAAAAGGGGGCCCTCAACGGTCATAATTGAATGGCGGATCGAAGCATTTGTAGAAATGGGAACAAGAACAAGAAGAAGAGCTACATATGTTGGTGGAGAAAGGATTGAAATACAAACGGAAAGGGAAAGGGCTTCGGGTCTCTGGTAATCAGGAAGAACAGTGGGTGTACCAATTAGAGGTGGGATTTCATATCCGCTAACCCCCAAATCAAGGAAACGGAAGAAAAATTAAAGAACGAAAAATAATTCTACTTTTTTTTTTTTTTTTAACTTTTTATTATAAATTTATGACTACAAAGTGTAATCTGCAAAAGGGAAACAGAATCAAGGGAAAGGGGAAAGGGTTCCCCAGCTTTCTTGTTCTCTACTCAAAAAGGGTGAAGAAGAACATTGGGAGTTCCATATTAAACCATCGAGGGTACAATCGTCATTTCACACTTGCCACTGTGTGATGGTCGGTTGCCGACGCAATCACACCATTAAACTATGCAAAATATATATATATATATATATTATGGCTTTCATTTCAATCAAAACCCCACGTAACCAAGGGAGATTCAATACACTACGATTCATTCAGCTTAATTCGAAATTATTTTTCAATCCACTCGAAATTTTAAATGGATTCCATTGGTGATTCGAATAACTAGAGCTCACAACCTAACCATATATTTTTAAGATTGGATTGTCCAGCTGTTTTTTTTTTAATTATTTAAAAAAATTCTACTATCAACAAACTAAATTCTAGTACAAATCCATATATCAAGCATTTACCGGGCACAACAAATCACTACCATTTGTTACAGCGGTAAATATTCTTAATTTTTTTAAGAGTAAGAGTATGATTTGGTTAGGTTGTAACCTTGTTTTAGGGTTAGTCAAGTTCGTTAGGTTAATATCAATTACCAAATTTTCAATTTTTTCAGAATTTAATTCCACTCAAATCAAAAAAATGAAAAATTCTAACATAGCTAAATTTTTATGGTTCGGATTACTTGACTTATGAAGTCATACAAACCGCTCGACAATTTGAACCCATAACGAATTACGTTGCAAATGAAAGAAAGGGAAGGGGATTTGAGTTGGTTTGATATAAAAAAAAATATTATTTTTTAAATGAATTTGTGAAATTACTTTTAAAAGAATGTTTTTTTTTTACACCTTAAAATTTTGACTATGGATAACACTATGATTAGTAGAGGATGGAGGCTTTTAATATGAAACTCGGGTTTGATCCTTCGTAGTTTAAAGTTCTTGAACTTTAATGAACGGAACTAAATTGAGGAAGGGATCAAAAAGAAAAAAACACGATTGAAATAGTACCAGAAAAAAAACGTGAACGACAAGTGTAGGGAGGAAGAACACATGTGAACGTGTCTTTGGCGTGCACGTGGGTCCGTTTTATTTTGCTATGTTTTACCTTTTATTGGTTTGCTTTTCAATCTAATTTTAACTTTATTCATACTTTTTATTATTTTAGGATGTATTTAGCTAAATTGTAAAAAAGACAACTAGGGTAAGTAGCTATTCAATCCATTTTAGTATTCGCTTACCGAACGAACATATTTTCAAGTTTTTATAGAATATACGTATGATATATGATAGTCATGATCCGGATCATTATACTAAGTTGTAGTTAAAGCTTGTTTAAGAGATGCTTCAATCAATTGAGATGTTGATTGATAGTATTATATTGATAAGTTCAATTATCGTGACTTACTAATTAACTTACGAAAAGAGTGAGTCATGAATTCAATAATAGGATATGATTATGTATTACTCTATCACGTGTATGTGATATGATTGTAGATATTCGTCCATGAGTTGAGATGCTAATGAAGTTTAGTTTATTATGACTTATTTATTGCTTATGAATAGACTAAGTCATGAGGTTAATAGAAATATGATTGCATATTACTCTATCTCGTGTAATGTTATATGATTGTACGAGTGTGGTACTATTAGAGGATAACAGTTAGTCTTTAATAAGAGCTCACACTAGTGTTGAGACCCACATTTGTACTTTCAGACTTAGTAGGGTGCATATGCACCTAACAATGCAATACGTACGCTATATGAATGTGATTAT